CTTTGCAGTCATTCTTTTGATATCCATAAAGCTCAGTAAGTTATAACATCTGTAAGTAAAATTAACCCTTGTGTTGTGTTCCGGTTGTTTTTCCCAAAAATGTTATCACATTGTATTAAAACTTTCTGAGTTTACTCACACAGGGTATGACAACTTTTAGGATTTTCCCCCCACCTTGTTACACTTGTCAAAAATGGCCATCTTACAAAAATTGCTTGTAAATCTGTCATTATGCTGTTTTTTTTTTAACCAAATGGACTTAGATTCAATCTTTCTGTCAGCTTTCTTTCAATTAGCACAAGTTTTGAATTTCTTTTGAAGTTCTGGTTGATCGTAGGCCTCACTGATCTAAGCTCATTCATCTTAGTTTTTGAAGGTATATTGCCAAAATTATCCATAAATGATGCTTTTTTTCCACTCAAAACTGAATATTGTCCACAAATAATGTTTTTTTTTTCAGTCATACACTGCAGGTGCATAAGCTCAGATCAATGAGGCCTACGATCAATCAGTTCCAGAAACACAAAACCTGTCCTAACTGAAAGAAAACAAGTTGACAAAAAGAATTGAATCCAATAATTGGTGATAATGTAGCATAATGAGAGATTTACAAGCAAAATGCTGCACATTTTTGACAGGAACACCAATATAGGTATAGGATTTTCAGCAGCACAAGGGTGAAATAAATATTAGATACTATTAATAATCACATTGTTCTCTGATCTGAATGTCAAATTGGACAAATATCTGTGTATATTTGTGTTTATAACCAATTACATGTGTAAACTCAAGTTCAAAAACAAGTTCAGGATTACAAATGCTTTGAATAGACTTTAGTTTCAACAACTGCATACTGTCTGAATGAATAATTCAGTGCATTTCTCATTTTTATTTCATTTATTTTAAACCCTTTTTATCCTGAATTCAATGTTTTTGTCTTTGACTGGTCTTAGTGATTTATTTTAATTGCTTTAATTAATTAATGCCTTTATTGATTGTGATAACCCACCGGTGTTTTATGAGCCTGTCTGAGGTTGTTCACAGTGCGAGTGAATAATGTTGTCTGAGGTCGAGCGATCGGTTAACGGGTTAGAGAATAGTCAGGTGCTGTTGACTAGTCCTGCCGTTGTTGCCATAAACACAAAGACGCTTCTGTGCATTAATCGCTTTTTAAGTGCCCTAGCAAAGATACAGGTAGCTCTACTTTTTGGAAACAATTTCTATTCATGTAAAAAGCTGTAAATGTCTTTAGGTTCCATTGATTATTGAGGTCCAAATCATCCTTTTTAATAATGTGATAGTTGTCATAATTATGATTTCAAATAAATGTTTTGCCATAAATATACCTCAGCTCTGGGTCTCTGTGTGTTTTGAGAAAAATAAAGAAGGCACACCACTGATTTAAAGCAGGAATTCTTGTTATATTGGAGTTTAATCCATCAGCTAGCTGTCACACTTTTTACTCCAGTGAATATTTCTCTAGGTGGGTTTTTATTAATGAAAGTCAGTTTTTGGATAGACCCAGTGAAAACCTATTTATTGACACAGAATACATGTTTTAAACATGAAACACTAGCTAAAATACGGTTTTTAAAACGTATTATATATTTAAAACTATTCTGAAACCCAAAACAATTGAAGAAACAACAAAAAATGGAAAAGGTAACACGAAAGGTAATTAATGAATTGTATAAAATTACAGCATATAAACTATGTAACAACAAAAACAGAAAACTTAAAGGGGTAGTTCACTTCCAGAATGAAAATTCTGTCAACATTTACTAACCCTCCACTTGTTCCAAACCTGTATGAGTTTCTTTCTTCTGCTGAACACAAGAGAAGATATTTTGAAAAATGTTAGTATCCGAACAGTTGATGGGCACCACTGACTTCCATAGCAGGGAAAAACATACTATGGAAGTCAATGGTGCCCATCAACTGTCAGTCGTTTTATTTTGACTGAGCCAAGGATTCCAATGATATAAGACACTTGAGTCTACGATAAACGGTCAAGAGTTATGAGCAGTTTCGATTCCGGCGAGTATTTGGATCTGAATAGCGGTGAAGACTACTACGATCTGACCAAGTTTCAGCTCTCTAGACCTTATGGTTTGGGCTGCACGGTCCGCTTTAGGGAAGAAGAACAATAATAATAAAAATCTTCACAATTACAATAGGGTTTCAGCACTACGTACTTGAACCCCTAATTAATGAATTGTATAATATTACAACATATAAACAATGACACAGCTTTCGCCGAAGTGACAATTCCTCAAAAGTAATATTCATGAGGCGTCTTCCACGTACATGCATTGCATATTCACTGTGTTCTCGTTTAAATTCGTGTAGGCGGGGTCGGGGGAAACTCGACGGAAATGGGTGACCGTTGATGCGCGCATGCGCACAGATCGCTGTCCAATGGGAAATGCGGTTGAAATTTTAAATCTCACTGAGCGCTCAGTAAGTCGGTTAGTTTCAGTCAGTTTAGCGTTGATGGAGTGAAAATGACGGAGGAATCCGCAGTAAAAGTGTGCGTTAGAGTCAGACCTCTTATTAAAAGGTAAGAAAAGCTTAATATTTAGAGCGTGGAGCTAAATGTAACATAAAACAGCCCTACGTTATTTGCTAATAGAATCTTAGTGGCGGAGCGAACAGATGCATAACTTATAGAAAAGGTTGTTTTTTTATATTTCGGAAGTAAACCTATTCTAAAAACAATGTACTTACGTGTGTAAAGGTCATTTTAAGCTAAAAAAAAAGTCTTGAGAGATTTTGAAAAAGTTTATTAGTGAAGGAATGACGAGTTATCTAATGACATCCTCTTAAATCAATACAAAAGGCTGTTTGTTATATTTCTGAAGTAAACCTATTTTAAAAACAGAATAGAAACCGTAAAATGTTATAATATTATGATAGTCAATAATAATATCTTCATATTTTGCTGGTTTACCAGGTTTTAGAATTATTGACAAGTCTGTCAGTCACCATAGAGAGAATTTATTACATTAATCCTCATAATGCATTCAAAATATGTATAACGTTACGATTTTCGGGTCCGTTTGGACCCAATTGTTATTTTATAAAACAGTCATAAATTAATTATTCATATTTTTCAACCAAACCTATATTGTGTCTGATCAGCAACTTCTAATTAGTGTGTGAATTTGAATGTAACGTGTTATATATATATATATATATATATATATATATGTCTGTGCATGTATATACATCTAAATTTATGAATCCTATTTATTTCTAACAAAACAAAAAATATTACTCTTAAAAGTTCTGAAACTAAATAAATTATTAATTACTTTCAGTTTGAAACCTATGCGGGTTTTAGATTTTTTTTTTATGCATCTCTTCCTTGTCAAAACGGACCTGAATGCATTATGATGGTTAATGCTCTGTTTAACGTTGATTCTCAGACTCCACAATAATCTAATGATGATACTGATGATTTAAGGGAGGAGTCTGAAAGCCCAGAGCCAGTGCAGCTCTACTGGAGAGCCGACAAACAGGCCATCCATCAGCTGGATGATGATGGAGCTCAAACTAAGAGCTACAGCTTCGGTGAGTTGAACATCAGCGGATCTTCACTGACCAGTAGAGCCGTGCTTTATGTTCTGACCTTCATGTGTTTCAGACCGTGTGTTCAGTGCTGAAGAGACCACTGCTCAGCTCTACCAGGACATTGCAAAGCCACTGGTCGTGTCAGCAGTTGAAGGCTATAACGGTGAGTCCAGAAATAAGTGTAATCACAATTTATTCTGAAAGGTACTTTATCGATCCTTCGAAAAGCATGCTTAGTGCAATATCAGGCAAACAAGTCAACAAAACCGTACATGTTGCAATTAGGCCTGGGCGATAAAACAGTATTGATATTTATCGATGATACACCTTCTTCGATAACGATAGAAAATTTTTTCGATATAGGCAGGTGCTATGAGTGACGCAGACAGCTGAACACGAACACATGCTGAATTGAGTGTTGTGCCTGCCTGTGATGAGGAGATTGTGAATAAAGAATGAATATTTGTCAAATTTAAAATAAACATTTGCATTTGAATGTTAGGTGTGCGTCATTAGTGGTGCGTGAGATGCGGTAATAATGATGTGAGTGACGTGGTTTCATTTGAATGTTTTGTTAGTCTAGCCCACGAGACACGCCGCTGCTGCGTTATTCATTCTAAATATTAGAGAAATATAAAAGCTCAATGCGGAGAAGATCTTGATTAGGTTAAAACCGAAACCAAGCCATTCACACAAAGTGCATATTCAGCGCATTTTTTTAGACGGACAAATATGACTGCTGCTCTCACGTCTCACACAAGAGATGTATAGAAAGCCATGCAAAGTTAAAACAGTTTAAACTTTTAGAAAACGCGTCACGAATTTGTGGAGGTTTATTCCGTTTCACTGCATTTCATATGTTTTTAAAGGCAATCTGTGTGATGGGCGATTCGGCTCTTTGTATTAAGTAATGCATAAATACATGATGCTGTTTTGTTCATAATTGTTTATACAATTTACGAAACTATATTTGATTTTTATGAGTTAATTTAGACGTAATGCACGTTTTTTATAGTCCGATGTTTCCTTGCGTTGACAATTTAAATGTGCTGCATTATTTTGCTCATTTCCAGAGGCCTCCTGTGGGTTTTCTTAAGTTTCCTTAAGACCTATTTAAATCTGCATATAAAGCATTAGAAATGAGATGTTTAATTTTTATTTTGTGTGTGATTAAAACAAAAATTATTTGTTGTTTGTCTCAATTAATTGGGTTAATTTATATCGATACCGAACGATATGAAACATTATATCGTCAATAAATTTTTTTTTAGCTATATCGCCCAGCCCTAGTTGCAATACATACAAAAATAATGTATATATTGTGTATTTTATGTAGTGTATGTATGAGCACAATATACATGGATATGATTTGTACTTATGTATTTCATTTGCTTGGTCACTGTTGATTCTTAATGCATAATCTCCTATTTTCAGGCACGATATTTGCCTACGGACAGACATCTTCTGGAAAGACCTTCACCATGATGGGAAGGGAACATAACCCTGGAGTGATTCCTCTTGCCATGGCTGATGTCTTCAAAACTATTAAAAATGTAAGTGCTTGCAAGTCTTCCTGGCATCAAATTAAAAAAAAAATTTTAATTTCTATGACACATTTGAGATCTGAGTGCTCCTCCAGAGGAACCCTTTTACAGTGAATAACAGCTTATATTTCAGTCTTTTCCCCACACAAATTATTAAATGAATAGTGTACTTGTACATTTTCAGCTCATTTTCATTTTTAAGAGAAGTATTCCTTTAATAATTGGTGTCTTTTTCATTCTGTATCAGTGGAATAAACCATAGTTTTATTTTTTTGCATCTATCTAGTGTCCAAAGAAAGAGTTTCTCCTGCGTGTGAGCTACATGGAAATCTACAATGAAACAGTCACAGATTTGCTCTGCGAGAGCTGGAAAAGAAAACCTCTGGAAATCCGTGAAGGGAACTACGTAAGTTGTTCATCTTTCACTGGACTCACATTGGCGATTTGAAAGTAGTTTTAGCTCTTAACCTGCCAACTGTGTCCTCAGAAAAACGTGTATGTGGCTGATCTGACAGAAGAGCTGGTGACGTCTCCGGAACAAGCCCTGTCCTGGATCACCAAAGGAGAAAGTAAAGTTGCATTCACTGATCGTCCGCCATTCTTTATATTTTTGGTATACTGCGGTACTTATTTCTTCATCACTTTTTTTTTGTACAGAAAACCGACATTATGGAAAAACAAAAATGAACCAGCGTAGCAGCCGCTCTCACACCATCTTCCGCATGGTAAGAAGCATGATGAACTGGAGTGTGTTTGGAATCTGATTTAGTGTTCATCTCTAAAGCGTCTCGTTTATTTTGTCCACGTCAGATCTTGGAGAGTCGTGAGAGAAGTGACCCGGCGTCCGGTGAAAACGCTGATGGAGCCATCATTGTGTCACACTTGGTGAGCTCAAAACAAACCAGGAACCGTTGGTGTTATTTCAATCACTGTTGTAATTTAGATAAGCAGCATTTAATATGTTTAGTCAGTTTATTGTTTCCTGTTCCTGTAGAACTTGGTGGATCTTGCTGGTGCTGAGCGGGCGAGTCAAACAGGAGCTGAGGGTAACGATTTTTTCTTTTCTTTTTTTCTTTTAGTCTGTTGCGTTTAACCCTTATAAGATTTTACTGATTTTGATTTCCTTTTTTTATGAATTAATTAATTTATTATTATTTATATATATATATATATATATATATAAAGATGGTTTCCTCAATCTGAGAAGTTCAAAAGTTGGTGGTTTTTAGATATGCAATTTGAGCAAAAAATGGACTTTCAATAATTGTAAGTGGGCATTAAAAAAGTCGCACTTCGCCTGTTTGCGGTCAAAATTGACTGACTACAGGAAGTGATTGGGAGCAATTGAGTAAACATCTAGAATTATTTAATATATCATAGAATTGTTTACAGTTAAAGTGTGAGCCTTTTTTGAAAAGCTGTTTAATGAATGCAGTGAATTTGGGTAATTTTTTGGTCTTTTTAAACCTCTCTCTTGTTCCTCCATTTCAGGAGCCCGCTTTAAAGAAGGGTGCAACATAAACCGCAGTTTGTTCACTCTCGGTCAAGTCATTAAGAAATTATCCGATGAGAGTCAGAAGTGAGTTATTTCATGACTTACCATGGGAAGTTTTACCATCGTTGAATTAGTGCTGGGTGGTATGACCAAAAATTTATATCACAGTATTTTTCAAAATTATACCGTTTCACGGTACATGACGCTATTTTTTTTTCCATGCATGACCGGGTGTTAACCATATTTTCTACTGATTGAGAGAGGAAATACTGCAGTATATTGACTTAGAATGCCCTATTTTACTGTCATGATGAGTGAATATTGTCAAAAAATACCACACTAAATAGTGATTAAACACGACCCCTTTTAATACGTTAACCAGGAGTCAGTCTCATTTATAATCGCGGCATCGTCTGATAAAATCAACATGCATCTACACTAAAGAGCGGCTATGAGGTTGTTTTGGCTATATTACTTTTTAGTCTCATGCAGCGCACTGCCTGCGTCTGAGTAACAAACTAAAAAAAAACAAAAGTGCATGTGATATTAAAAGACGAACTACGCTCATATTTATAATTCCAAACAATCAGTAAGCAACAGGTGCTAGGAAACGCTGTTTTGTACTCATTTATTGACGAGTCGGTTGCGATGCGGTCAACAATGCACTGCTTCTCTGCCGCTCACTGCACAGAACAGATGCCGAGAGAGGCGACACTTCTCCAGGAAAGTCAGACCTCGCGTTCACGGGACAGCACTGGCGAAATCTTCCAACTGAACCATAGCTAAGGTTTATCCAAAAAAGTATGAATATTCTATGGAAAAAAAAGGGTCTGAAAGTTGCTAAAGTCGCACTTGTGTGTGTGCGACATGGGAGCTGATGGCAGGGGGCGATGGATATTTGTGGCAGTCAGTGTGGATGAGTTCTTCTGGGTCATCACGTTCTATTAGTTCTACAGCTTCAGTTTTGGAACTTTCACGCTTGGTAACACATACAGCTGTTCCCTCACCACAGTGAAAAGGGACCCCTTTCAAACAGTGTCACGTTCCGAACGTTGTTTAAGCGACGTACACTGGTATTGCGGTATTTTAAAAATGTATATCATAACAAAAATAAACACTGGTATTCAGTATACCGCCCAACACTACGTTGAATTTGTTTTTGGTCAAGCTGTAGCTAAAACGTAATGTCTTGTTTCTGTTCCATCCAAAAGGGGCTTCTTAAATTACAGAGACAGTAAACTGACCCGGATCCTTCAGAACTCTTTGGGTGGCAATGCCAAAACTGTCATTATTTGCACCATCACCCCAGCCACTGTCGACGAGACTGTCAGCACTTTACAGGTATGAGAGAAGACCTTTTTTAACTGGATTTATTCTGGATTGATATGGGTAGAGGTATTGAATTTCTTTGGGTTCTTACTGTGGTTAAAGTTTGCTAGTGCTGCCAAGCGCATGAAGAACGACCCTCATGTCACAGAGGTCTCTGATGAAGGAGCTCTCTTGAGAAGATACCGCAATGAGATTGTTGATCTCAAACGACGTCTGCAAGAGGTGAGGATGTGGTTAACTTATTTGACAATCATCCAGCAATAACATGGCCCATCATCTCCTCACATGATTGTTTTCCAACTCATTTCACAGGTTTCCTCTGTCACACAAACAACTGCGACCGAGCGAGAATCCCTGTGTCAGCTTCTGCAGGAGAAAGACCAGCTCCGGAGAGAGCAGGAGGACAGGATTAAGAACCTAACCAAGCTACTAGTAACTGCCTCAAATGTGGCCCTAATCCCTAAGGTAACGGATTTCACTAGTTTTAACACTAGTAAACCTCGGTGTTAGTGAAGTCGATGGATCTGATTGTTGTTTAACTGTAAAGGTTCCAAAGAGGAGAGTGACGTGGGGTGGGAAGCTGCTGAGGTCTGCTCATCTTCTGAATGATGATCTCGGCGTGAGTGACATGAGTTTCGCAGAGCCGTACATCAAGAAGAGAAGAGCTGACTGCTCTCTGCCCAATGAGGGAGAGGGTATGACTGTCTTATCATTGGAGAAAATTAGCTTTACGTGCACTTGCAAATTATAATCCAGTAGGTGTGAAACATGTAAACGAAAAAAACTTAATCAGAAAAATGTAAATATGGTAAGTGTTACTGTCCAAACTGTTACTCAGTTTAAATTTATGTACAGATGTGGATGAGTTTGACAGCCGGTTTGATTTCACTGCTCTGGAGGAACCCGACATGGAAATGAGCAGCATCACTGTCCGCAGCTCCTCTGAAGGGTGAGGACTCCATTAGTCTCACTACTGTCTCAGAATTGCTTTTACACTCAAAATAGGCTATTTAAATGCTTACCTAGTTTTGTTTACTGCTAAAAATGAACATTCAGGAGGGGACCGTTTTTGTATATAAACTTCAGTGAATAATACATGTTGTCTTCTGACAAACTTTTCCATGCATAATTTGATTATTTTATGTGGGCAGAAATAAATGGAGCCGTGAAATCACTTACAGTATTGCACAGGTCTGATCACGTTTTCATCATTGCATCATTTGCCGTTAGTTGAATTTGAATTGAACTTATTTATCAGGATAAACACCTTGATGTCATCTCATTTTCAACGGGGTCCCAACATATCACAATCATTAAAAAAAATAAAAACAATCTGCTAAATGCACTCATCAATTAATCAACTAACAGATCAGTTTTTTTTCTCAGGTGTGTGTGGTCTGTCTGATGACAATTAATGAGTCTCCTCTCCTTCAGGAGTAATTTCTTGGACTCGCCCCGAGCAAGCGAGCTGACGTTGAAGGTGGCGTCTCTAGAGCGTCAGCTGGAAGCAGAAACTCAGTGCAAACAGAGAGCAGAGGAGATGAGCACTGAACTCCAGCTGAAGATCTCTGAGTTGCAGAACAAGCTGGAGGCTCAAGCCACGCCATCAGAGGAGAAGACAATCTCTCAGCTGGAGAAACAGATGGAGGCATTGCAGAGTCGACTGGAGAAGGAGGTTGAGGAGAAACAGAAGGCACAGGAGGAAACCTCCTCACTGGAACTGAAGGTGGCAGAGCTGGCGAAAACTTCAGAAGCCCTGCTGCACTCACAGCACACATGTGAACAGGTACAACAGCTGTTGTACAAGCAGCTCTTGGTTTGTATTTGAGGTTGGACAGGTATTTGCCCATCCTCTTTGAATAACAGTGATGGGTTTTTAAAACATCTCTTTCTTCTGACCATGTTCTGTTTAGCTAAAAAAAGATCTGGAAGAGGCCATTCAGTTCTGTGAGACTCTTGGATTTGAGAAAGTGAGTGAACAACAATATCCTGCATTTTTCTTTGGCCTGTTAAATGTACTTTTTCATTTGGAAATGCCTCATGTTACTGTAGTAAAATGGGTTTGTGAATGCCATTTTGAAAATTATTTTATAAAGGACGCTGTTATTGCCGAACGAGACCTGATCAAACACACGCTTCAAATGATAACTGAAGATCTGGAGAGTCTGAAGGCAGAGAAAGACTCTCTTCAGAAAGATAAAGATGCTCTGCAGAAGGACATCGATGAGAGGAAAGATGCAGATGAGTTTGAGAAACTAGAACAGGAGAGCAAGAGAGAGTATGAGGTGATCACATCAAAGCTTTAAAACGTGAAATTCTCACTTGGATTATTATTATTCTTCCCAATACTAAGACAATGTCTCTACACATGTCTTTCTGATAATCCGTGTCTGACAGCTCATAATAAGATATTTTAATTTCTCTCCATACAGAGAGAATTGGAGGCTGAAAACTCCAAACTGCTGCAGGATTTACAACATTCAGAAGACATGATCCAAAAGCTGAAGGTCTGTTCATGTTCACTTGATGTATGTCATGTAGATGGACTCAGTGCTGCTCTTAAAGACCAAAGGTGATATATGAACATACTGTTGTCCTCCATAGGCTGACCTGGCGATGATGTCATCAGAGCTTCAGAAGAAGACGGACCTGACTACTGAGCTACGGAGTTTTGTACGTCACTGAATCACTGCACTTTTATATACTGGTTGTGTATTTACTGGTTTATTTACTTGTATTTACTGGGTTTTCAGTGTCTGATGCTGACATCTGGAGAGAATGTTTGGCCATGGAAACTTTATTTATGCAATATTTATTAACATTTGCACAATTCTCTTTCCCCTTATGCATTGACAAGACCGTATGTTGACTCTAGAAACTACACAATGTGGAGGCGTATGGATGTGGATTCTCAAAGCAGATCTATATGCAGATATTCATATTAACTCTGCTTTCCTGTGGCTACAAATGTTCTGTATTGTTTTTCCCATATTATGCTATATTGCATTCTGCAGAGTGACAAGGATCTGGTCCAGGAAGTGAAACGTCTACGGCGCTCTCTTGACGATGCTGAGGGTCTCAGTTTGGAGACCAAGAAAGAATGGGCCTTCCTGCGGAGTGAGAACATCTCCCTCAAAGAGAGAGATGTGAGTAGAGTGAAGCTTTAGGAGAGATCAGGGTGTGCAGGTCATAAGTAATTTATTTTGTGTGACTGCTTCAATCAGGCAACCCTGACTACAGGCTATGAGAAGATGGAAGCTGAGGTGAAGATGCTTCAGGACAAGCTGGAGCAGGAGAAGTCTCGCTTCAAGAAGATGCAAACGGATCTTCAAAAAGAACTAATGGGTGCTTTCGATGAGAATACCAAACTAACTGCTCTTCTGGATGGAAAAGTACCAAAATGTAAGTGAAGAACATAGAGGGACATCATGATCTGAAGTCAACATGAAATCTAAACTGACTGCTTGTACAGTACTCTCTAAATTCATGTTTACAGTTGAATTGAGCACAATGATCATCAGAACGTTTGAAATGCTGATGTTTGAGGAAAATTGAACCAGCCTTAAGGGGATTTTTTTTTGTCCATCCATTGAAAGTCAGATTAATTCATTTTCAAGCTTTAAAAGGCGCATAAAGACATTTCAAATGAAATCCATATGAATCAAGTAACTTAATCCAAGTCTTCTGAAGAGACTGAATCACTTTTTATGACAAACAGATTTAATTTAGTTTTTTTTTTTTTCACATGTAAACAATGATCAATGCATGTGCATAAAGCACATTAGATACAGTAAATGGAATCGCAACCATGTGTGCTTGATGTGCAAAAACCATTGAGGTTTGTTGACTTGGATTAAAATACTCAATTAATATGGATTACTTGTACTATGTCTCTGTGCTTTCTTTATCTGACTTTCAATGGTTGGACAAAAATGATGAAATGAAAATTAGAAATGTCTTTGTGGTCTGAAGATGAACAAAAATCTTATGGGTTTGAACTAGGGCTAGGCACGAGTACTTGGATGTGACCGCAACGATCGATCATGAAAACGATGATCGTCCTGATTTTAAAATATGTGTTTCTCTTTTGGGTGTTATCTGAGGTCTGATTTGTTAGTGTTAGACAGCATGCCTTCCAGATCGGTGAAATAAAGTGAAACTGGATTTGAAAGGCCACAGTGATGCCTGGAATCACTTTGTTCATGAAATACAGTGAAAGATGTGCAGTGCCAGTCTGGCAAAATACGTAACATTATAATGAGAACAGGATTGTAATAGGATGTTGTAAATTCTCTGTGCTTTAGTTGACCGTTTTTCAGCGCGCTGGTAAGGGAAGAGTGCAAGGCCTGAATTTTGTTGTGGAAAATTGGGTGAATTCCCCCTTTAGGTGGCTCTTATGGGGGATTTTTTTAATTTGAGGGGGAGTTAGGGGATTTTTTAGACATATTTTTAAACACAATCATCCAACCTAATCATTTATATTGTGAGGAAGAATCAAGTTCACATGCGCGTTCACGTCCTTTTGTGCCGTTGTAAATAGGTATTTATCTGATTATTCTAATATAGGATGCATTTGTCTGAGTTTAGTGCTGCAGTGTGGTTTTATTCAGTTTCAGCTCAAATGCAGTACCTGATATTTATTATCATTGGGTTGTTTGAGACGGTCATATTGCTTTTAGATGATTCTTTTTCAAAAACATTTATATTAATGCAGCACTATTTTTTTCCCCCTTGTAATATTTTTTCAACAGTAGGCATATACATAACATTATAACAAAAACACTATAGGATGTTGTGAATTCTTTTTGCTTTCCTTGCCCATGTTTCAGCACACTGCTATGGGAAGAGCGCATCCACAGCAGGAGTTACACTCTCTGGATATATCACATAACTTAGCTGAAATTCACTTGTATTTGCATTCTTTTGTGCATATAGAAGTTGTAATGTTGTGTTTCTAGGATATTTGATTAATCTCATAGGATGTGGCATAGAACAGGCTTCGGTTTACTGGAGTTCATCTCTTCAGCTTCACCTCATGCAGCTACTCCTTTTAGATTTTTAGGTTTCTTTTTTCGATAATATTGACGCATCATAATCTAGCAGTATTATATTTTTCTAGTCATATGGTCATGGTTTTATGTCATTTTTATTTGTCAACAACATTAATTTTCATAAGTTAAAATATTTTCATTATCTCCATGATGGACGCGTTTATGTTTGTGGTAACTGTTTAAGATTAAACCAGTTGGTGCCCGGAGTGTTTCAGTTACTGTTTTATGTCATTTATAAAAGTAATTTGTTACTTTTGATGTTCACTCTTCTTTTCCCCCTTCACAGATCTGACAGATAGTCTTGTGTTGGAGAAAACTGTCTGCGACTTGCGTAAGGAGCTTGATCAGAGTCATGAGAGGGAGCTATGTTTGCAGAGTAAGATGGAGCAGATGGAAACGCTTCCTGTTAAAGTGGATGAATTGCAGAGACAGGTTAGAGGAACTGCATAACATCATCTTTGCTAACTTTCTTTGTTTCTACATGGCTTAGTCTCATCCATTATGGTTTCTCAGGTGTGTGGTCTGTCAGAAGAGCTGAGTTCTGTTAGACAGGAGAGAGACACTTTGATATCCTCTCAGTCCAGTGTGAATGAAGACCATCAGAGACTGAAAGATGAGATGTCTAAAGCTCAGGGTCAGCTGCTAAAGATGGAGAGTGATCTGGTTGATGCTCAGCTGAAGGAAGCAGAACTGAGCCAACAGCTCACAGAGACATCAGAACTGCTTCAGAACATCCAGACAGATCTCCAGCACGTCACACAGGAGAACAGCACACTGCTCACATCATTAGAGGAGGCCACACAGAAGGTCCGTTCACACTTATCACTACACGCAGTCCCACTAACTGCCAGATTGAGTGATTTAACACCGTTGTTACCGTGTTTCAGTCGGTGCAGTTGAGTGCAGAGCTGGAGTCTGTTCGTGGAGCGAGAGATGTGCTTTTGTCTGAGAAGATGGAGGAAGTTCAGAGAGACCCAGATGAGATGGAGAAGCTGCGGCACACTATCGGCTCAATAACTGAAGAGCGAGAGCAGCTCCAGGAGATTCTACAGGGCCTGAGAGAAGAGAGAGACGAGCTCAAGAGAGACATGGAGGAAAATGTGGAGATGGTGAGCACTTATTCCTGAAGCCATGTCAAACATGATGATCTCAGCCGACATCAGACCTTTTTAAAACTCATTTTGTTCTCTGCAGATGATTGAGACTCAAGCAGAACTGAGAGATGCTCAGGAGAAGGTGAAGGACCTTCAGGGAAGATTACACAACCTGGAATCACAGAGAGTTCAGAAGGTCGACCAATATGTGGACCAGAAGAACTGTGAAGATGGACATCTGGACAAACTACAAGATCAGGTGGCTGAGCAGTTTGACACATAATTTGCTGTAGAAATAAAAATGTTCTAAACCGTAGTAGATGTATCCACAAATATCTATCAGTAGATATGGCTGTTCTCAGTTATTTAAATGCTCAATATTAAAGTGTCATGTTTTTTTATTTGCATATAAAGCAGCTAACAGAAGAGCTCAGTGCTGCTGTTTGTGAGAAGGAGCCTCTGCTCACGGAGCGATCTAACCACCAAGAGCAGTCTGATGTGATGGAGAAGATGAAAGCAGAAGACACATCTTTGACACAAGAACGAGATCAGCTTCAGGAGAGACTACGGGAGCTGGAGAGAGATGATGTTCAGATGAAAACGCATCTGGAAAAGAAAAACGAGAAGGTGAGAGAAGAATAATCATCACTCCTAATTACACCAACACGTGTAAATAGTTCATTCAAACGGGTCGATCTCAGGTCACATTTCACAAAACCTCAAGAATAATTTTTTTTACAATAGTTGAGTCATGCATTCTGACATTTTTCTTTTCAGTTTGTTTGTAATTCTCATTATTCTCACCAATGATCTTCATTAAATATTCATGACTTTACAGTAAATTACGGTAAAACTGTTTTCTCATTTCAGTCTCCACTACTTAAAATAGTATTATTTTTGTTTGTTTTTTTTGTGTGTGTGACAGGTGTGATTTAGTTTTTGTAAATCCAGTGAACTCTTTAATGCAAGTTAAATAAGTGAAAGGTTTTTTCAGATTCTGCAGGCTCAGTCAGAGTTGCAGGAACAGCAGCAGCTTTTGAATCAAGAACAAGAAGATTCCAATGAGGAGAACAATTCTCTGCTTCAGCAGGTCTGTGACTGACTGTTTTTTTTTTTATGTGTGAGTGTTTGTGCAGTTTAATCACTGTCTCTTATGGTTTAACACATTCTGCAGATTCAGACACTCAAAGAAGAGCTTGAGACTTTATTAGAGCAGAGAAACCAGCTGACATTGGACCTTCAAGAGACCTCTCAACAGGTGGGTCATCAGCTGAAGATCTGAAACTAGCTTCATGTGATGTTGGTCATAAGTTTTATGAATATATTTGATGTTTCTCAGGTGTGTGGTCTGTCAGAAGAGCTGCGTTCTGTTAAACAGGAGAGAGACACTTTGATATCCTCTCAGTCCAGTGTGAATGAAGACCATCAGAGGCTGAAAGATGAGACGTCTAAAGCTCAGGATCAGCTGCTGAAGATGGAGAGTGATCTGGTTGATGCTCAGCTGAAGGAAGCAGAACTGAGCCAACAGCTCACAGAGACATCAGAACTGCTTCAGAACATCCAGACAGATCTCCAGCACGTCACACAGGAGAACAGCACACTGCTCACATCATTAGAGGAGGCCACACAGAAGGTCCGTTCACACTTATCACTGCACACAGTCCCACTAACTGCCAGATTGAGTGATTTAACACCGTTGTTACCGTGTTTCAGTCAGTGCAGTTGAGTGCAGAGCTGGAGTCTGTTCATGGAGAGAGAGATGTGCTTTTGTCTGAGAAGATGGAGGAAGTTCAGAGAGACCCAGATGAGATGGAGAAGCTGCGGCACACTATCAGCTCAATAACTGAAGAGCGAGAGCAGCTCCAGGAGATTCTACAGTGCCTGAGAGAAGAGAGAGACCAGCTCAAGAGAGACCTTGAAGACACTAATGGGATGGTAAAGGCTGAATTCAGCTGTAGAGTTTTATAGTGGTGTATAAATGATAGTGAGGTGTGTGTATATAGGAAATGTTTTCTCAGCTTATGCAGGATCAGCAGGAACACGGCGGCTCACAGACAGACACACAGCATGATGAACTCCTCCAGCAGGTAAACAGAGAGCTTTTCACATGCTCTTGATTTGGAGCACATCAGATCAGATACTGACTGTAAAAAAGTACAAAAAATTTAAAATAAATAAATTATACTCAAGAGAAAATACAGATACAATTTTACTCAAAAGTACAAGCATTTGGCCAAAAACATAAAAGAAAAAAGTACAACTTAAATTGTACTCAAGTATTCAAATACTCAAGTAAAACATTTTTTTTATTTTTTATCATATTGAAGCATCTTCTCAATACAAAATGAAACTGCTTAAAAATAAACTGCATAAGGTTTTGTTCAGATAGAGAAACAAAGGTTTGGTTAAAGGGTGAAAAAACACGCAATGGCACAGGTCAAACACATCTATCTAGTGCATGCAACAACAATAAAATGCAGCACAGCGGAATTCAAAAAGTCCCTTTACATGCCATTACCATATGTATATGACTCTTTCTTCAGATGAACAAGAAGAGTTTTAGAAAAACTTAATCATTGTCTCTGCATATAATGCAAGTGTGTAACATTAAAAAATGATGCTTCAAAAACTATACAAAGTGAAGACAACGGTAACCCATATAACACCTGTTAATAAATCTGTCTTAAGCGCAATGATAGGCGTAAGAAATGTACAAATACTGATAATTAAAAATTTACTATTGTGTTCACTTTGTGTGTTCTTTGACATGTAACTTGTGTTATAAGCACAAAACATTTTTGTGTGTGTTTTAGGAATGTAACTATTCATTTGACGATAACTCGTGATAAAATTCCCCATGGATAGTATTACCGTTTCATCTTTTAATTATCATTAAAACCGTATTGGATTACCGCGATTTGAACAACTTACGATAAATAAATACGGTCCAGCATAAAGCACAGTTTACATTTTAACGTGATAATTTTGGTCACTGTAATAGTGATAAGATGTAAGAAATGTTCATACCGTTACATCCCTAGTGTGTTTATCTGAAGAAAGAAAATCCCATACATCTGGGACTGCATGAGGTTGAGTAAATGATGAGAGAATTTTCATTTTTTGATGGACTATCCCTTTAAAGGGCAAAATGTGATGCAAAGACCAAAAGCATACAGACAGAAGAATGAGGAGAGAAATCGTAATGTTGTAAAACATACAACATTAACTTTAATTGAAAGGCCACATTTTGTGTTCACTGTTCAATGCCCTGTCTAGAAAAATAATTAATCTTTTGTTTATTTGGTTCATTTAGAGTTTTTTTTTCTTCTCTGTAAATATTGATATATAATTATTTGCGACTAATTAGATGAATTAATGAGCAAATGTAATTCAGATTAAAAAATTATTAATTGTTACTGAGTATATCATTATAATACGACTTATCCACTCCCTAGTAAGAACATCACTAAACATGATTTACAATTAATTTAACAGTGTTCATTTAAACACTTTTTGTAGATTTGTAACATTTAATTTAAAGGAATAATTCCCACAAAAACATAAATTGTGTTTAAAGTCTCATTATTGATTTTATTTGCACTTGTGCATTCAGCCAATATATTACACAGACAGCTAATAGCTATATCAAAACGTTCAAAAATAATGAAGAAACTTTGCTACCTGAATATGCTTTCTCACATTTGATTACAAACCTTTGATGCCAGACATTTACCTGATGAAAGTTATAACTGAAGCTGAAATGTCTGTGCTTGATGCATGAAAACAAAGTCCACATGTTAAGCGCACACATTTGAGTTTCCATTTACCATATTTAATGCGTGTAAGATAAAATAAAAATGCTAAAATGTACTTTTCAAGTTGAAATTAAATTGTAAGGAGTACTTGTACGTTTACGTCATTACATTTCTTCAGAAATGTAATGAAGTAAAAGTACAAATGGTCATTTTAAAATGTAATTGAAAAAAAAGTACAAATCCCCCATAATAATACTAAAGTACAGTAATCAAGTAAAATTCAGATCACCTAGATACTGGTGATCATGGTTTTCATAATCATGGTGTGAATGGTCTCTCATAGATGCAGCAGCTTGAACAGGAGCTGGACACTGTGAATGAGGAGAAGAACCAGTTAAAATCTGATCTACAGGAGAATGTTGAAATGGTGAGTTGGAACATAAGAAACAAGTTTTCCTCCACATAAGCACATATGCTATTATTGGTATTCTTCTATAATTTCATGAAATTTAAAAATGATAAACCTACTACTAAATGTTGGGGGTCTGCTCACCAATGCTGCATTTATGTGATCAAAAATACAGTAATATTGTAAAATAATATTGCAATTTAAATAACTGTTTTCTATTCATTTATTCCTGTTCAAAACTGAATTTTCGGCATCATTACTCCAGTCTTCAGTGTCAGACGATACTTCAGAAATCATTCTAATATGCTGATTTGCTGCTCAAGAAACATTTTAACAAATTATGATGAAAATTATGAAAGCCGTTGCGCTGCATCATCTTTTTTTTGTGGAAATCATAATACATTTTATTTTTCAAGATTCTTTGATGAATAGAAAGTTCAAAAGAACAACATTTATTTGAAATAGAAATCTTTTGCAACATTATAAATGTCTTTACTGTCACTTTTGGTCAGTTTATTGCCTGACTTTGGAAGAGCCCCTCATTAAGTGTCTATTTTAATAAATCCTTTTGTTTTTATTTTTTTCAAATGCAGATGATTGAAAATCAAGAGGAGTTGAGAGGAGCTCTCGAGAAGGTGAAAGATCTTCAGAACACCATACGAGAGCTGGAGTCTCAGCAAACGCTAATGGAGTCCAAACTCCAGGACTCTGAAAACGCATCCAAACAGCTGCAGGAGCTGCAGGTTCAGGTGAATCATGTGACTGATTTACATGTAGTTCTCATTTACTGTGGTTTTCTGGTTTGACATGGACTGTTGATGAGTGTGTTATTTCAGTCTCATCATAAAATAGCTTCTATGCTACTGCATTCCGATTTACAATTACATTATACTTAAAATGGAAGTCCAGCACCACAAATAATCATTTTGAATATCATTTGGAAGTATAAACCATCTGAATGTGTTATCAGTTCCCGTGGGTGGGTTTATCCTCTCTGGCGTTCACTTTTTTTTTTCATTTTAATGAAGTATTCCCTTCATTCAGATGGTCCAGTTGAAGTCAGAGCTTCAGTCTGTTTGTGCCGAGAGAGACCGTGTGGCATCTGAAAGAACCGGAGAGATGGAGAAGATGAGGCAAATAATCATTTTGAATATCATTTGGAAGTATAAACCATCTGAATGTGTTATCAGTTCCCGTGGGTGGGTTTATCCTCTCTGGCGTTCACTTTTTTTTTTTTCATTTTAATGAAGTATTCCCTTCATTCAGATGGTCCAGTTGAAGTCAGAGCTTCAGTCTGTTTGTGCCGAGAGAGACCGTGTGGCATCTGAAAGAACCGGAGAGATGGAGAAGATGAGCTCCAGAATGAGCTCTGTGACTGAGGAGAGAGATCAGCTCCTGGAGACTCTACAGTGGCTTACAGATGAGAACAAGCAGCTCAAGAGAGACCAGCAGCAACAGGACGAGACAGTGAGACCCTTTTCAGTGTAGTTCCTCTCTGTTCCTTTCTCTTTTCAAATGTAAATCTCAATTCTCCCATGATTCCTAGCTGGTCCAGGTGAGAGAGCAGTTCCAGTCTGCCTGCACTGAGAGAGACCTTCTGCTGTCTGAGAAGAACAAGAGCGATCTGGAGAACATGACGCTAGAGGAAGTCCAGACGAGCATGGCTTCTGTCACTGAGGAGAGAGAGCAGCTTCTGGAGATCCTGAAGGTCAACAGAGAGGAGAAGAATCAGCTGAGGAGAGACCTGGAGGAGAAGGAAGAGACTGTGAGTGATTTGAGTCATTCTTCAATTAGGTTCAATTTTGACAAGGGATAGCTACCCAAAAAATAAAATTCTGCCATTATTTACTCACCCTCATCATTCCAAACCTGTTTGACTTTCTTTCTTTTGTGGAACTTAAAAGAAGATATTTTGAAGAATGACGGTAACCTAACAGTTTTGGTTCCCTTTGACTACCATTGTATTTTTGTCCATACTATGGAAGTCAATAGAAACTGAAACTGTTTGGTTGCCGTCGTTCTTCAAAATATCTTTTATGGACAAAAAAAATACAAGAAAGTCAGTGGGAACCGAAAGCGCTTGGTCGCCAACATTCTTTAAAATATCTTGTGTTCAGCAGAAGATTGGGTGAATTTAATCTTCAGAAGCAAAACTTGATTTACATTTAAACATGTCACATCATGGCTTTAATCAGCCTTCAAGTGGATTTTGTAATTCATATCTGTAGCTTATTTTGCATTGTTGCCAAAAATGTTTATTTTGGGTACAACTTCATTATTTTTTCTTAAATCAGAAAAATCCCTGATTGATGAATCGCCCTTATGTGATAATTTTTCCTCTTTATCAGTTGCTGCAGCTACAAGTAGAGATTCAGTCATCTGCAGAGAAAGAACAGCTGCTTTCTGAGAGAACAAGAGAACAGCAGGAGAAATTAGCAGAGATGAAGACGGTTAAAGCTAACATTGCCTCTCTGACTCAAGAGAGAGACCAGCTGCTGGAGACACTGCAGGGCATGAGAAATGAGAGCGAACAGCTGAAGAGAGATCAATTAGAGAAGAGCGAGATGGTAACAGAAGCTTAATGCACACGATCAGCTTCTGTCTAGTGGAGTTTGACTGATCAAAGTTGAATGTTTCTCCACTTTCTCACAGATGGTGCAGTTGAGGCAGGAGCTGCAGTCCGCTTGTGCTGAGAGAGACCGTCTGATGGCAGAGAGAGACACTGCATGTAACCGATCTGGCTCTTCCTCCAGTGTGATGTCTCTGAGTGAGGGAGGAGACCTTCAGGAGATCCTGCAGGGTGTTCGAGAGGTAACGAATACATTGGTCCAAAGCGGGCCAACTGGGGCTAGAGGAAGTGGTCATGAACAAAGGCAGAGTTTATCGGAGTTAGCAGACAGTTGGCTCCACATGGGTGGTGTGCCTTTCTGAACGAATGAAGAGGTTAAGCTGCGTTCACACTTTTGTCGCCGCATGTTGCCAGGGGTTGGCGATGAGGTCGTTAGTGGGCGTTCTCACTACTGGCTGCCTAGTAACGTCGTTGTTGATAGCGAATCGGTTTAAAGATTAAATATAATATAAATTGAATCCGTACATAAAAACAAAAATGAATGAGAAACAGAGCCTGCTTTTTTTCCATTGCGTATGTTTATCTTCGGCAAAAACGTAAACAGCCTCTCCTCCATCTTTCCGTCACTACCGGAGCTGGGAGGTGAACAATAACACTGAGCTCTACTGTCGTCTTTCCTATTGGTTGTCGCTCTTGAAAGTCACTCTTCATTTGCATAAAGTTGAAGGGTTCTAAACTTTTTGCGTCGCTGGACCCATCTGGTCGCCAATGGTCGCTGTTGCTCATGTCGCTGAAAATCACCAGCTCTCCATTGAAATGAATGGGATCATGTCGCTTTGTCGTTGCGTGTCGCTTGTAGTGTGAACGGGGCTTTAGAGTTGGTTTACTCATTAAAATCTCTCTTCAGTTAATTCAGGTCCAAGGAGAGCTCAAACAGAAGAAACATCAGGTGGCTGATCATACGAGTCCCACAGGGAAACAGAAAGCCCAACTTGAGCAGGTACGTAACTGTCTGTAAGATCTTTTAATGCAAGAGATGTTTAGCACATAGTATGTACAGGGTTTCTGCAGCTCTTCAAAAGATCTTAAAATCTTAATTCCAGCTTTCAAAGGCTTTAAAGCCTTAAAAGGTCTTAAATCTGAGCAGAAAGTCTTAAATTTATAAAGTCCTTTGTCAAATAAGTAAAAAAAAAAATCTTCCACTGTATTTTTGTCTGGTTTCAGTACAAATATCTGAACATCCTTAAATCAAGATACATTTACTTGATATGCAAAATGATGTGAAGTCTTGTTTTTTGAAAAATGTATTTTTCTGAGCCCAGTGGCAGATATGTGAGATATATATATATATATATTTTTTTTTTTTATTTTTTTTTTTTAAATTGGTTAGAAGTTGTCAGACTTCAAAATGTTGTTAATGCATTTACATTTAGAGACCATATTGGCATATTGTGTTCCTTTCCCTTCAATTTATCGCTTATGTTTGCTTCACTTTGGTAAAAAGGTCTTAAGTCTTAAATTTATCTTCATGAAACCCTGTATATAATGTTGAGTACTGTTGGAATTAAAAATATATATTTTCTACAGTGTTTTTAAATGAATCCATCAAAACAGCAGCTCTCAAATTCATGAATTTGTCTAGTGGCTCTCTTAATCTTTTGGTGAGGTTGGTGAATTAACATCTGCTTTGCTCACAGAACTTCAAGTCATTACTTTCATGATTAGCTTGTTAACTGTTTTTTTAAAGGGACAGTTAACCCAGAAATACCTCGTGTTGTTTCAAACCACTATCCCTTCTTTTCCTGTGGAAAACAAGATATTTTGAGAAATTTTGGTAACTATTTTTGGTTTCCATTGACTTCCATAGAACAAAAAATGTATTATAGAAGTCAATGGAAACTTGAACTGTTGATTGCCAACATTGTTCAAAACATCAAGTACTGCAAGAATTGTTAATGGAATAAAAAGTATAACAAGAACTGTTTAGTTCCTTACCATACCCATTCTTCATGTTCTGTGTTTTATTTCTTTGTGATCTCGTCCAGATTCAAGATCTCACTGAGGAGATGGAGTCTCTGAGGAATCAGAGGGTGGTGCTCAGGAAAGACCTTCAGGAGGCAACTGCGATTGTGAGACTTCATGTCATCAGTGTAATGTCATCTGAGCTCCACACAACACATCTGTCTGAACTAACTGTTTTTACTCTTTCCTGTAGTCTAAAATGTATGAGGATTTACTGCACGTTACTAAGGAGGAGCTGAAGCAGCAGCAGAAAGAGAACGCAGAACTGATGGAGCAGAGTGCTGTGAAAGAGTCTCAGCTTCAGCAGCAGGTGAGCACTGTTAGACACAGATTAACAATCCTTGCATAAGACAAGTGAATGATTAAATGCTGGAAATCTCTTATTCTGTTTCCTCAGTTGAGTCAAATAAGTGGAGATCTCTCAGCTCTACGAGACCAGCACAACACAGAGATCCAAAACCTCCAATTAAAACTCACCTCACTTACAAAAGTGAGGGATGAACTCCAGGACACGCTAAAGAGAACCAGAGAGGAGGGAGAACAACTTAGGCAGAATCTTCAAAAGAGTGAGGAGATGGTAAGCTTGTTACTAATTTCTGTGGTGCATGGTGGTCATTTCAGTTTGGACCACTCACACTGCAGTGAAAGCACCTAATTTCTTAAAGTAATTTGTTGTTTCTTTAGAGAAACCAGTTGACTGAGGAGCTTGAGTCTCTCGCTGACATGAAGGATCAGGAGCAGGTCCTTGAGTCTTTAAGAGATGTCACGAAAGAGAGAGATCAACTCAAACAAGAACTGGACGGAAAGATGGAGAAGGTGAGGTCTTAAAATGTGCTGAAAGAAGTGGGTGAACTAATAAATCACGCTCCTAAACACTGGATCTGAGATCGGGTATTTTGGTGGGTGTGTGCTGGTTTTTGACTAAAGGTTCTTTATTGGGGGAAAAAGGTTCTTTAGATTATTAAAATGTTCTTCACACTAAGAAAAAATTGTTCTTTTAAGAACTGCTCATTTAAAGGTTCAAAAATGGTTCTTCTGTGGCATCACTGTAAAAACACCCTTTCGGAAGCTTAATTTTTAAGTGTATGTGACTAGATCATATTCCAGTGCAGTTTGGGTTGTATGAAGGTGTTCACTGGTCAGTAAGTCTATGTTTATGTTAACATTGTCGTCATACTCCATCACAGCTGACACGCATTGAATCAAAAGCAGAGCAGCTGGAAAAGCAGAAGATCCTCCTGGAATCTGAAGTCCATTCCCTCAGTCAGGTGTGTGTCGTCTTTTCATGTTCTAACCCAGAATAACCAGTTCCTTTAACTTGTTTTAAGCCAAGTGTCATTGTGTTTCAGTCTCTCACTGAGGTGAACTGCAGTGGGTCTTCTGATCAGAGTAACCTGCAGTCCAAACACAGATCTGGATATCTGGTTCCTGAGATTGTGTCTGATGAGAAGCTGCAGGTAAATGCTGATGTTGACCGTGTGTGTGGTCTTCTCAAGACTCTTTGATCCTTTTCAATAGTCTGATTTGAGGTTTTTCTTCCATGTGTAGGCGGCCTTTGCAAAGCTCCAGCAGATCATCGACCGTCCCTCTAACGCTTTAACTGATGTGAACCGTGAAGAATGGGCTGTGATCTTTCAGCTGGTGCCATTCATTCCAAAGGATCAGAGAGCGGTCCATGACAAACACACCAAGAAAACAACCAGACTGAACCACGTGCTGATCAAGATCGCGGTAAGAGTCCACAGAGACACAAATCACAACAGTGGATGTTTTGCAAAATTAAGAAATGCTCATAGAAGGACAAACCATTATAGGAGGCATACAGGAGACTGGCGCAGCGCTACAAGACACACTATGAGACGGAGGTGCAGCGTGACGTGGCCTCGTTTGAGGAGTCTCGACTACAGGACCTGCTCATGGCTCAGACTCCATCACAGTCTTTCCGATCACTCCAGGATGACTTCCAGCAGCTCTGGGATCAGAGACTGTCATGTCTGTTGGAAAGACGTCAGCAGTACTTGCAGGTATGATCATGATTATTGTTAGGGATGCACCAATAACGATACTGGTATCGGTATCGGGCCCGATACTGAGCTTCTGTACTGGTACTCGTACTCGTTAAAATACGAGTACCAGTAATAGGGATTTTTGACCTGCCGAATACCTTAGTCCAAAGCGGGCCAACTGGGGCTTGAGGGGAGTGGTCATGAACAAAGGCAGAGTTTATCCGAGTTTGGAGACAGTCGGCACAGCTGCTCATTTCCCATTTTTTCATATGAAGCTATCACGCTAACATCAACATTTAAATGTCAATAAGACATTTAAAACAATTTTAATGGCAAAACTCACTTTCGGACACCAGCGTGTATCTAAAATAACTTACGATTGTGGCCCGACGGGAGTTCTGATCATCGTACGAGGCAGAAATGTATTATATGCAATGTTAAAGGCAACATATGCTAACCATCGCCATAAATACACATTATACGTATGAAAATACTAGGGACTGCTTGAAATCTTGAATTATTATAATCGTGTATTTGGTTTCATATTTGTTCTGTCTCTTCCCCGTGTCGTTGTTGATATTGGTCTTCTGCATCTGCATTAGGGATGCAGCAATACAGTTAGCCCATGATTCAATACATACCTCAGGCTTTTTAACCACGGTTTCCGGTTTGGTTCATTTCTGATGGCTTGGCCATGTTTTTTTGTGATTTTTAAAATGCGATTTTTAAAACAAAAAATGTATATAATAAACACCAGGTGTGTTGTGCGTGTTTGTAGGGCTGCACAATTTGGCCCAAAATGTGCTTATGTATATGACTAATAATAATTAAGATAAAAAATATTAAACCAAAATAATAAATATTACAATTGTAATAACACTTTCATTATTAAAAATAAAGAGTTAGACTCCTGTAAATACTCCTGTACACTATAGAAAAACATGGATTATCATATTTCTACTTCAAATTTCTTTTGAGAAGTATTATTTTTCCTATTTTGACCCAAAATAGGGTGGATTGGCCATTATGGAGCGCTATAAACATAATTGTTTAATAATAAACAAAATGTCTGTTTCATTCATACTGGAAGCCAGAGGGTGCCCTCGTGCTGAAACTCCAAAAAGGCCTCAAAGAAGTAATAGAACTGATGAGGCTCCAGGAAATCCCTGTGGACAAAGACATCTAGCTATCGCTGTAATGGAATAAAAAGAAGATAGAAACGTTTTGAAGGATGAATCATGAAGACAATAAACACTCGACTGACAATATATAGTTTATCTGTGGTGTTCAAGCCATCTCCGGTATTTTCATAATAATTAAGGATATTAATAATCCATTGCTAATCGACATAGCCTTTATTACAGTATAGAATATATTTTCTGCCTCATTCTGTGATTGAAGCCACATTAGATCACCAAAAGAAAAGTTATTTTAAACACTCGACTGGTGATGTGGAGTAAAAACATATTAAATGTTCTCTTTTGTTGGACAGCAGGTTTAGAAAGGCTTCTCACTGCAAGCCATTACAAGGGAAGATGTTTGGCGTGTGTTACTTTTTCAAATGCATGTTATAAGCGACTCTAACTCTCAGTGTGTCCCGTAAATTATTTAAATGTAAAACCGCAATTCACAAGACCGTATTGAACCATGGATATCATACCGAAGGGTTCAATATTTATATTGAGAATTATGGCATCCCTACTCTGTATTATGATGTCGAAAATTTTATATACTCCGTGTAACTCGTGTAAGTCCGGTTTTCTGTCCATGAGCTCCCTCTGTTGCTTTGGCTGAAAGGATAACAGTATAGTGAGATGGGAGACGGCGCTTAAACATCCTCGGATTATGTTATTAATTATGTGAAAAATAATAAATGCTCATTCTTTCTAAAGAAATTTGGCATAGATATGAGTTTATCAGTATTTCCTATTGTGTTATATGTGTACACATTTAGATTTAAAAGCCTGCATGCAGTTTTTCGTGCATTCTTGTCATCACAAATAAATAGAGCAGCTGTGACTGAACAAGTATGTGTGCTAGGGCTGGACAATAATTCAATATCAATATGTATCGGTTACAGAGTATTTGTTAAATCTAGCTAACAAAATATATATTGTGTGTTTGATTGGTCCAGACGCTACAGTGTGAAGCAGCTTTAGAACAATGTATTGTATAAAGCACTATGGAAATAAATGTATTAACTGTATGATTCAATGTTACTTTATGGTACTAATGTATCTTATTTGTGTGTGTGTATCAGAAACTGGAGGCTGCTCTAAAGGTTCTGGAGGACGGTTTAGCCAATCATGAAGTGATGGTGTCAGAGGAGCATCAGCACAGGACTCGTGCGCTGGAGGAGCTCAGAGCTCTACTCAGATCTCCTCAGACTGCTGCTATTGTACAGCTGCATGAGCGACAAATCGCTCGGCGTACCAAAGCGACAGAGCGTCTCAATGCGTTTTATTTTGTAAGTAATGCATATGTTTTGAATGGTTTTATGTGTTCCACACCTTTCCTGACCATAAGTGCTCGTCAACAGGCTCTGTTGAATGAATGTGACTCTGCGATTTCCCCCCTCAAATCGTCCTCTGCCGAGTCTGAGCTGCGCCTGAAGGATCAGAGAAGAGAGACTTCAACTCTGCTTCAAGCTCAACACGGCACCCTGCCCAAAACTGAGACTGAACTTCTGCAGGACAATCAGCGTCTGTCACTGCAGCTGCAGCAAACCCAGAAACAGATCGAGGTATGGAGAGCTCTTTTCTCTGAGAGCAGCAATGTTATGCAGGCTTAAAGTCAGCATGAAATAAGAATTCACAGTTTACTAAGTGCTCACTTATTTTGAGTGATTTATCCATGCATTATCTTTTCTTTTTAACCTCGTAATTTTTTTTATTAATTATCATAACTGGATCTTCTGATTAAAACAACACATTTCTCTCTGGTGATGCAGGACTTTTCCCAGTCATTTAGTACACCTAAACTCTGCCATCAACACGGTGACAGTGTTACAGAACGTATTGTTTTTAAAGGCATTTTGTTTGTTGTTTTTAAAGGCATCCAAACTGAGAGTTGTTGTTTGTCTGACAGGATATTCAGGAGCAGATGAAGGAACTGAAGGTCCAGGCTGATGCCTCAAATCTTCAGCTTCAGGAACTCGGTGGCCAGCTAAAAGAGAAGGAAGCCCTCATCCAGAGATTACAAGACAAACTTAAAGAGTCAGAGGTTGGTTAATAGTTGATTGATACTTAAAGAGTTTGTGCTGATCATTAAATGCTTGAGGTTTGAATCTATAAAACAGAAGCAGATCTAGGCCTATGTTCAGTAGAAACATGCTGAAAGCCTTGCAACACATTTCCGTTCACCAGCACCATATTTTTACTTTTCCTAATTGAATACTGAATTAGGGATGGGCATTTTTCAAACAATATTGTGTTTGAATATTTGGGCTCTTAAAAAAATATAAAAATTTTTGTTTATTTAAATGATGTTTAACGAGAAACATTATTTTTTTTAATAAATAAGTTTTTGTCACCATTTCTGAACAAGCTTATTATTGGGCATTATACACCACAATATTCTACAAAAACGTTATGTTATATCTCAAAGTTTTCTTTTAGTTGAATGTGTAAATAAAAAAAATGTATATATAAAGAACAAAAGCATTTAAGCTCAAGCAGAGTTAACAGAAAAAAATAAACCAGACCGTGCCAATTACAGTACAAAACGTACATACTCAAGTCAGCCTATGTTTATCGTGTTTGTGTCTCACATCATGTTAATGTTGAGAAAAACAATATCCACTTGTAAGTTGGCTCCTCAGTCTGATAACAATAGAAATGTGTGCCGACACAGACGTTCCAGAGAAACACAAAGATAACTGTGCTAAGCAAAGTTTCTTACAGCACTTCGTGTTTTCTGTTCTTAAGCCACTCTCCCTCGAGGAAACTTAAAGGAAGCATATGTCTCAAAATAATTTTGCTATCAGATAAGCTCTCTTCTCTGCTCACTCGGAGTACAGCTGCGCTTACCTGCAGTCGTGAATGCAGTGATGGACAGTCTTTCCTCAGTCGACTGGTGTTTGAATTTCATGTGATTTTTCTCATTGTGGTGGTGATACTATGATAACTAATTTGATTGAAATTCCATTTAGTAAGATCATTTTGATCAAATAATTCCAAACTGTGAGGCAGACGACAACATTCTGTGATCAAATACAATCAAATTGTTAACACTCCACAGCACCACCTAGTGCATTTAGTTATAACTGACTTAGTTTGTGTGCTTAGGATTTATCATGTAATCATGGCCTGCATTTACGGCCAGCTCTTTCCTCAGTCGACTGGTGTTTGAATTTCATGTGATTTTTCTCATTGTGGTGGTGATACTATGATAACTCATTTGATAAAGTAATTCCATTTAGTAAGATCATTTTGATCAAATAATTCCAAACTGTGAGGCAGACGACAACATTCTGTGATCAAATACAATCAAATTGTTAACACTCCACAGCACCACCTAGTGCATTTAGTTATAACTGACTTAGTTTGTGTGCTTAGGATTTATCATGTAATCATGGCCTGCATTTACGGCCAGCAAGGCAACATGTAGTTAAAGGGGTCATATGATGCGATTTCAAGTTTTCCTTTCTCTTTGGAGTGTTACAAGCTGATTGTGCATAGATAAGATCCCTGAAATGGCAAAGACTAAAGTCTCAAAACCAAAGATATACTTTATCAAAGTTAAGACTCTGCCACGCCCCCCTAAAACGGCTCGTTCTAACATGCCCCCACAAATCTACCTCACTATGTGGAAATATTTGCATAATGCCGCCCAAATGTGCACGCAAAGAAAGGCGGCATGGTTTCAGTAACCGCAGTTAGTGTTGAAGCAGCCATGTCAGGGAGACGCTGTGTGTTTCTAGGCGAAAGCAAAAGCATCACAAACACATACCAGCTTCACCACTGTGTCTGTCACATGACTCTGTTCCCCTTTCGGGCTCTGTCTTTACATTTATTTTGAAAGATGAAGCTTGCGATTATGGTAAGGGGCGTTACTTTTCCGACGAGTGCTTGCGGTGTTCGGCCAATCACAGTGCACTGGGTCAGCTGGCCAATCAGAGCAGACGGCGCTTGTCGGAAGGAGGGACTTTGTAGAAAACGAAGCGTTTGAGAGAGGCGGGGCATATAGGACCTACAATAATGTACAGTATTTGAACATTAAGGCATGTCAACATGTTCTGATACACCAAATAATCTTTAAAAAAAGCATCATATGACCCCTTTAACATTGAATAGTGTTTTTATTTTTTGAATAATAATTACAGATTGAATATTTGACTGTTTGTGCACACCCCTATACTGAATATAATTTGTGACAAAATGCAGTTTTTGATTCTCTCAGAGTGCAAATCATGCTTGATTTTCCTCTAAATTTGTCCTGCAGGTTCTGGCTAAGAGGAGCATGACACCAGGAGCCGCTGAGCTTGCCGCCCTAAAAGACAAACTTGTCAAAATGGAGCTGGATCACATTGCAATCACAACAAGTCATGAGAAGGAGTATGTGTGCCATCCCACTGCTGAAATAAGCCTAGTTATTAGCCACTTATTCCTTTGATGTACAGTTTAGTCAGGGAAGAGTGAGTTTAACATGTTTCTGTGATCATTTTATTCTAGAATTGCACAGATGAGCTCCATGTTGGAGCACAGAGCCGATGTCATCCGCAAGCTGAAAGAGACCCTGAGGAAAATGCAGCAGGATGATGAAAAGTCATGTAAGACAATTTGATTTGTGAATTCAGTCCCACATTGACTAATGACTGATTACGTAGGGCACAACTGACTTCCAGTGATTGGATGGGTTAGGTTAGGGTTAAGGAACATCTTGAAAGCTTATGGAGACCAACTTTTTATTTTTTTCTATAGAATATCTTCAGTGATTGAATCCTTAACAATAAGAGCAAGAACATGAATCAAGAAAGTGTTGACTTTCTAAGTGTTTTGTGCCTATCTTGAGTAGGGGTGGGAATCGCAGGGTACCTCTTGATACGATACATGGCTCACGATACCGATAATATCATGATTCTGCGATAATCGATATATTGCTAGACAATCCTTGAATGATACATCATGATATCTGTCTAACTATAGAAACAAAATGCCTGTGAAAAGGTTAAGTGCAAGTTTTCTCTCTTTATTCAAGTCCAAACTTAGAAAACAGCACAAAAAGTTCTGTAAATCAAATTTAACATGTTAAGTCAATTTAATAATTTTATTCTTGGACTTATTAAAAGCTTTCACTTTTCTTTGCATGTAAACCAACAAATTAAACTGATTATCAACTTTCCTCTTCTCTCATCATAAAAACGGGAGCCCCGCACATGACATGCAGGGAAAAAATACAGGCAGCAAGCACACACACTGCACTCTTCTATGCCGCATTACGGCTCTGACAAGGTTTTGTTTCATCGTGCATGCCATAGGTGCAGATTTATGTTTCTGCCGGTCGGTACCCACTGCCCACACTGCATAACGCGCACTTGTAATATTTGAGAGAGGGAGAGCCCCTAGTTTTGGTCACATAAAACTGGGCATGCCAACGGCGCTCTCTCTCACTCATATAGTGAGGGAAATCCACCTGCAATCCGAGCTGAGAGGTTAGGCTACTCACGGACTGAATATGCGCTCTGCAAAAATAACGTGCCTATGTGTAACGGAGCGTTACCTTGAAGTGGGATTCATAAACAGGCTTTTATTAGAGGGGTCATATGACGTTGCTAAAACAGAACATTATTTTGTGTATTTGGTGTAATGAAATGTTTATGCGGTTTAAGGTAAAAAAAAAAAACATTATTTTCCACATACTGTACATTATTGTTTCTCCTCTATGCCCCGCCTTTCTGAATGCGTCGATTTTTACAAAGCTCATTGGTCTGAAAAGCGAGGTGTGCTCTGATTGGCCAGCTATCCAGTGCGTTGTGATTGGCTGAATACCTCAAGCGTGTGACGGAAATGTTATGTCCCGGCGCGATGAGACAAAACCAATAGAACCCATTATAAATGACGCATTTATTGCATCCAGTGGGGACATAATTACTGATTATAATGATTTGTACTGTCTTTTTACGCGTTGCGCTGCGCCGCGTAAACAAAACCATGTCTGCATTTGTGATCAGAGAAACGACAAAAAAGTTCTAGTCTACACTGCTCAACTCGCGTTTGAATCATCAGTGGCAAATCCTTTAAATATTAAAGCGTACTTACAGGCTGTGAGTCAGCAATATTTGCATTGTACGCTACTCTCCCAGGAAACAGTCCTCGTCCTCCGTAAAATGCGCTGCACACATCTGAATATTTGGGTTGAACTGTTCTGGAACAGTGTTGTAAATACAACTTAACCACTGATTTCTAGTTGTCCTCTTTTGGAAGGCCAAACAAAGTTTCGCTTTCATAACGAAACACACAGCTTCTCCACGACATGGCGGCGGCAGCAACAATACTACCGCGAGAATCAAGTTATGCCTTATTTCTTTGTGTGAACATTTGGGCAGCGTTATGAAAATCTTCCCACATAGTGACGTAGACATGTGGGGGCGTGTTAGAACG